GCGTTTTCAATTTTCAATTTTAGGCTTTTCATTGAGGGTATTTTGTATTTTCAACTGTGTTTTTAATTCTTTAAAAGGACCTCAACCCTTTTACAAAAGTCTAGATTTCATTTTAAAAAATAAGTTGCTAAGTGGGGATTTATCCCTAATTTTCCCTTTAAAATAAGCAAGTTTTGAGGGGGGGGGGGAATTTCTCTGTGATACATATAAAGACAAAAGGTTGATGTGCAAATTTGTCTAAAAAATTTTTATTTAGAAGTGTTAGGTATTTGAAAATTTTTAGTTCAATATGGCCCTATAAGTTTCCAAATCATAGTAATTTTATCCATTATATTGCTATCTAGGTTAAATTTGACTGTTAGTTAATCAAATATGTTGAACTAGTGACCCTGTCATTTTTGTTAAGGTTTAAATTTATCTTAAAAGTTTTTACTCAGAAGTGTTTGGTATGCAAAAGTTTTTTTAAGTTCAATATGCTCTAAAAGTTTTGAAATCATAATAATGTCACCCTAACCATTTAGGTTAAATTTAATTATTAGTTGACTAAATATACTGAATTAAAAGAATGAACAACAGTGAAGAAGAAGAAACTTCAGTAAAGGAGAAGCTCATATTCCCCAGAGTGACGAGTAGATGCAGGACACACCGAGAGAGATTGTCAAAAAGCATCGGTAATTGCTGTTTTATATGCCTTTCGTTAAGGATACGTTGGCCAATTACAAGAGATGTGTTAACAAAAATTATAATGGCAACAATGTTTTCCCCCCTCAATTACAAGAGATGTGTGTCTGCCATTTTTCATTTCTGACATAATCCCTATCACATCACTTAAAGTAATTAAGTTCACAAAATGTAATCCTCTTTACACAAGCCTAATTAAGTATCCGAGTCTTGGCTCTTGTGGAATCGAACCAAAACTGGCTACTAGTTTTCTGTATTATTTGCTGTAATTGATTTAAAATTTAAGGATTTATTTGCATACAACAGGATTATATACATCCAAAATTAGATTTTAAACAGTATGAAATTATAAATTAGGTCATATGTACTCGCTTTCATTCTAAATATAAAATCTATTTTTATATTAATAAATATGTAGAGAGAGCCGTATTAAATTTTAAATGATAAAAATAAAACTCTTTTATGCAGTCTTGTAAAATACAAACTTAAAACAAATTAATCACGTGATTATAAATTGCCAGCCAAAAATCTGGATGTGCCGTCGCGGAAATTACCGAGTTACTCTCCATAGCCTCTGCCGGCAACCCCAAGCAGAGCACCGTTTTTCCCACTCGCTTCACTTGCCCAAGGGCAATCACGACGACCCAGAGGTGGTTGTGATCCTTCTCTCCGGCGACTCAGCGAGTCAGACTAGTAACTGTAACTCACTGAGTTGAGAATCTAGCCGAGTTGCTCCTATGTATTCCTCTACCATATCGGCGGCTTTGGCTTCCCATTCGTACGATAAGATTGCCGATATCTGCGACAACCTCATGCTCCAGGTGATTAATTATTTTTCCACTTATTTCGATTGCATCGCTTAATTTAATCCTAATGCGGAGTATTCATCCTTTTTTTTTTTTGGCCTTTTGTGTTGAGCAGGTTGCAGCAGAAGGCGTTTCTTATCAGGATGAATGGCCTTATGCGATTCATCTCCTGGGTCACATTTATGTTGATGACATGTAATCTCATTCTCTTCTTGTTGCTTCTCCTTGCAACTTTTGTCTTTGCTTTTCGAATGTTAATTTTGAAATGAGAGTGACATCTGGGTTCCTTCACCTAGTTCTTTTCGCTTTCTTCAATGCAATTCCTTTAAATGATATAACTTTTTTTTTTTTTAATTTATTGAGTTTTTGGGTGAACTATGAACTCCGAAACCGAGAGGCTTTGCTGGCTCTGAAATGTGTCCTATAGGAAGATAGAATGCATGAAGACATATGCTTTACAAATTCCGCTACTCATCTGCGTATCTTTCATGGCTTTTAAACTGAGTGCTCGGGTGTAGAGCCTTAGGTCTTGTGTAATTCTGGACAGTTGTATAAGTAAGGCATTCTGCATTCTTTTTAGTCTTGTAGGGTTAGAACTTTGCAGTGAGTGCTCCTTGATATGCTGATATTGCGATTATTCATATCAGGCGCCTGCTAGTTCTTGTCTTGAATTATTATATTTTTCTAATTGCAGCGGGGGAGTTCTTGGCCCTTTTGGGGTGATATTGTTCTTGGGTTGATCACAATTGCTGTGCTGATATTGCAGTAACAGTGCACGGTTTCTTTGGAAATCAATACCTTCCTCGATCAAAGAAAACAAGCCAGAGGTAGTTGCAGCTTGGAAAATTGGGCAGAAGCTATGGACTCGTGACTATGGGGGAGTGCATGAGGCAATTCGTGGTTTTGACTGGAGTCAGGAGCTTAAAGGCCTTGTAGCTGCATACTCAGGCAAGTTTTAAAATTCCCATTTTTATTTAACAGGGATGCTTGGGAAATCTCGTGTCTTCACTGAAATTTTCTGTTGAACTTTGCTAATATTTCAAGTTTCTAATTTACGTTCATTAAAATGAATTATAAAAAGGGAAAAAATTGGGCAAACGTTTGACTCTAGCTGTGAGGTATAGATTTCACTCTATGATAACTATCAAATTCACTTACTGTGGCATGTAATTGGCATTGAAGTTATATTTTTCAATTTTCAACAAAGTACTCTGAAATGGTGTAGGATAAAGTATGGGAGATCTTACCAGACGATTATTCTGGTCATAACATAGAGATTTCAGTCTGTTCCCTCGCTATCCCTCCCCTGCTACTTCTGGTAATTGGCGGGCAAGCAGTACAGGTTTTTTAATCTTTAGCAACTATTAGGTGAGCTAAGACATAATTTACAGACAGAGATACTGCTTTTGGTTGAAGTATCCTATCATGGGTATTGGGCATCATTGTTAAAAGGAGCCAGTGATGTGTTAGTTGTTAAAGCAACTGTTAAGTGTTAATTAAGGGGTTGTGGCTTATAAATGGAAGCTATTTAAGTGAAAAATGACCCAAGCTAACACCAAGTTGATTGTATTTTAGTGATCCTTATGGAAGCAAAGCATTGTTTCAGTCAATCCGATCTATAGCAGCTTCGGTCAGCGTATCACCCAAATGACTTAAATATATGCATCTCACTGTTAAGTTGCAAGTCCTAATGGTGGTTCTGTAGCATCGTAGTTTTTTAACTTATAAAACCCCCTATCTTATTAGGGATAATATCAAAGCAAGAAGATTTTAAACCATATGGTATACAAAGTTGAACTGATGTGGATGTGCATTCATACAAGAAAATAAACGATTCATATGATTGCATACGGGAAAAGTTGGTGTCACATTTAAGATGGATTGGACATGTATAAGAAAGGTCCATAGAGATGCTAGTGGTCTGAACAATTGAGCATATGGTCTATAGCCCTATGGAAAGATGTAGAGGGAGTTCAAGAAGGACACTTAAGAAAGTTATCAAACAGAATTTTTTAGTAAATGATATATGTGAGGCTTTGGTTGTTGATAGGGAATAATGGTGTTTTGTGATTCATGATCCGCATAGACAACCTTACTTAATTGGATGAGGCTTGCTGCTGCTATAATTGTTGTGTCATTTATAAAATATAGAGATTTCCCCCATCCTCATGATACGCTTATACTAAATAATCCAATTATTTTTTGGTGACAATTAGTTTTGTTTTGTTATTGTCTCGTTAGCTCTGATTGCTACTGCTAGAACTTAATTTAGCCAAAACATGTGTTCATTGTTTTTCTAAACCAATTTATTTTGTGGTCTAATTTAATTGCAGTTAGTCAAAACATGTTGCTGAATGTATTTCCTTGTGTCCATATTCATTATTTTGTGTTTTTGGGTTGCTTATTGCCAGTTTTAAGTATGTGTATAAACTCTGAGACCAAGACTACAGTTATTATAATGCACCCATACTGGATCTGAATGTTGACATTGCATTTACCATACCCACTACATGTTTCTCTTGTTGATCATGCACACAGTCACTCTATTTAAAAACTCTTATTGATTTGACGATGTCAACAAATATAATTTTGCTATGACCTGAAGCAGAGAAATTCAGATTGGAGAGATATTTGGTCAACATGGATGCTTTTTTTCTTTCGTTGGAACATTTTGTTTTATGTCTTCGTTTGCATGCAACGAAAGGATATCAAATTTTTACCCCGAAAGGAGAAAAAGAATGGATATTCAAAGATCTAAGCACTATGGCATGATTATCTAAGAGCCTAAAATAAAGTTCATCGGTCTTTCTTGCCACCATGCTTTCTACTATACAAGTCGTTATATCACTTATCTGCATATCAATTCTTTGCAGAACTTTACACAAAGAAGATGTTTCAGCTGCTTCTCTCTGCTTATTCTACCATAAGCATTCAGGATACAGCTTTATTTCTTGGAATGAGTGAGGATGATGCAACAAGTTGTAAGTAATCATGTTGCTTTGTTTCAATTAAAAATTGTGCGATTCTAGAGATATTTTCCCACTTTTCCCACTTTCATTTGCTTCTTAGGTCAGAGCCAATGCTGTAAGGTTAACCAAATGAAATTTTATACTGGAAGGCACTTAAGACATCTACAACCAACGTCTTTGTTTAATATATGTATGTAGCCATGATTTACACATATTAATGCACGGATTCACAATGAATACCATGCCATAGTCCTTATTGAAAGACAAGAAAGATTATTTCTGCTTGAAAGGATCAAGCATGTTGCTCAAAGTGCCCTACTTAAGCAGAGCTATTTTCCTGTTTTGGATAAAAGAAAGTTTAATCACTAAGAAAGGAGGAGAGACACAGAGTAAAATGATGGAGAACCCCGGGATATACAAATGAAAGTCCCATGTACTTGAACGTGAAACTTCAAAGAGTAGACCTTGAACACTCGTGATGAGCGTGTGATAGATAGCCTTATCCATTCATGTGCTCCTTGTTAACTAACACTCACATAAATACCTTTGTTTCATAATTTCAGAATCTCTCTGAATGTCATGCAAATTAAAATGGCCAATCAAAGCTGGTTTTCAGCTCTCATTGTATCATTATAGTTTGTTGCTCTGTTAATAATATGTTCCATTTCTCCGTGGCCCAAATTAATATTTCTGTTTTATTATACAAGTAATTCATGCTGGCTGTCTGAAGAGATCTTCGGAATTTGGAATTGGAAAAAAAAAAAAAACCTTATTCAGGGTCTTAAAGATAATCAATTATGTGGTTTGGTAAAATTTGTGGTTGACAGAGCAGCGGCTGAATTTGAGGCAAGTTAATTTTGAAGTTTAAGCAGAGAATTTTGTTATTTGGTTGGAAGGTGACGTTTTAACATTTGGTTAAGGGCAAATGAAAAGGGATAATATCTTGGTTTATCGCTTGAAGAGGATAGTCCGGGACATCAAATTGTCCAATAAATTACACCCCAAGGATAAAGGGCAAAAAGAAGATATCACCCCCCCCCCCCTTCCTCTCCTTTCATCCACAAAAAGAAGATAAAAACGTTGCAGCTTGCATGTCACTGTCAAGTCCCTATCTGATGGACACCAGGTTGGATTTTGACTTAAACTTTTCTTGCATGGATTTGGAGTACTCGTAGAAATTACTTGTAAGGACCTCAAAACTCAAAAAGACCCCAGGATTCCTATGGTGAATTTGGGTGCCATTGCTGCTCCGATAAAGTTTTGGATTGACAGTATGCTAATTCTATATAATGCTGTAGTTATGAATCATTTTTATGCTAAAATTGTGGCTATTCTATACCATGCCCCGATAAAGATTGGTATTGACAGTATGCTTATTCTCTATAATGCTGTACTTATTGTATATAAAGTTTGGTGTTTTAGTGATCCTTATGAGGCTAAAATTATGACAAACCCCTTGTTCGTTGAACCTTTTCCATTTCTCGCTAGATGTTTCTTATACTCATTTTTCGTTTGTATAATGCCAGACGTGCTACAGCAAGGTTGGGCCGTGGACCCAGCTTCTCGAATGTTAACTGTGAAGAAGCAACCTATTGTGACAGAGCAGAAACTGGATCCTAGTAAATTGCAGTGTTTGACAGAGTATGTCTTCCATCTTGAGCATTAGAATCTTTTGACCTGGTGAAGACATAGGTGCCTCTTCGTTCATAATCTTTACCTTTTCTACTTCCATCATCCCAAAGCAGTGACTTCTAGATATGTTGTGTAAAGCTGCTTTAATGTGTGCCTTTGACACTTTGTTTGTAATGCCCATTCTGGATTTTCATCTCGAAACTTAAACTTTGCTTGCATTGCAAGTAAACCTCATTTATCAATGGTAATTATTAACTGGGCATTTGCTTGAGCTTAAGATTTTCTCGTGCGTGATGGATTTATTTTGTACTTTTGTGCGTATGCAATAACTTGTGAATTGTCATGGGTTTGAATCAATTAATACGGTAGTATAACTATACTGTGTCCTAGAATCCGCTCGACAGACAATAGGAAAGTAGAGTAGGCTGCAAAATGAAATGTTTACTGAAATTGAATATCATATTTGATAAAAATATTAGTTTGAATCATACTTGAATCGGGGCCAATCTAATTTTTATTTAATATATATGAAATTTCATTCAATTTGTTATTTTTTGACTGATTTTCAGTTCGTTATTTATTTTTGGTTAATTTTTTTTTAATGTGATTATCTAGTATAATGTCCAATATTTTAAAGTTAAATATAAGCATTGTTTGTTTTAATTAGAGGTACCATGTCGAACGATTTTTTCCCCTTGCTTACACAAGTAAGTTCTCAATTTTATTTAAATGGAATTGAGTTTTTCTTTAATTTTTTTGGTAAATATAAAGTTTAGTTGATTTTAGTTTAGAGATTAGCCAAGGCAAAACTCAAGCTAATAAAAATCACTTCCAAAATACTTGCAAATTACTCATTAATTAGATTTTAATATAACAACCAACAAGTTAAGCTAAGCAGTATCATCCTCCTTACAAAGATACTACAAGAGTTCAAATCTTAGAAAGTACACTTATTAGAAAGGTTTAATATTCTTGATTCGACAGAGATTAATTTTAAGTTCAAAATGATATAAAGATATTTTGAGTTTAAAAAAAAATCTCATGTGATAAGATTTGATTTTTGACATGTCTTAGATGTAATTAAAGTTCAGTAACCAACATGACCAATTTGATTGTGATGCCATGAAGAAAAATTCTTATATTTTCAATCCCTAACCGAGAAGGGAACATACAATAAGCATGTGAAAGTGTAGCATTGAAAGTGGGTATGAAAATGCCAGCTTCCTAACCTATTCCATTCAATGCCCAAAATTATTTCGACGTTAACCTCACCAAAACCAAGCCATAATATCCCAACTTGTCATTTCACTCCCAAAAAAAAAAAAAAAAGAATATCATAAAATTCATAATGTTATCATGAACACACAATCTCAATCCTCAGCCACAATACCCCCAATATCTTCTTCATAACTTCCTCCTACCAATTAATCTACATGAAAGCAAAAACTAAACTTCATTGTGTTAAGCCATGAATCAAATTGCCTTACTTCCCCTGGAATCATCAAAAATATTTTTTTTTAAACAAAAAATGAAATTTTCAATAGGCTACTTCTTCAACACTTTCACTTCTTACAACTTATCTGTTACCTTATCCCATAGAGATATACAGATTTTGGAGCTGCGATCCATAAGCATGTTTACGTAAATTAAGATAAAACCCTCTCACATACTTAACTTATTTTGTAAATCTAAACAAACGTCACAACAGTGACATATCCCGTTTGCTGTGTCTACCCAGCTATTTTTCTTTTTTACAAAAAAAAAAGAACCAAACAAGCTTCATGGGAAACGAATATATACAGTATACACACATTGGAATCCCATTTCAAGTTAGCTTACATTACAATGCTCGTTTGCAGAAATCAGAACAACATTCTCTAAAGTGATTTTTGTGTGAAGTGATCAGAGAGAGATCAAAAGACAGTCAAATGTGAAGAAAAACCCTTTTTCTTTCACTCTCTCTCGCAGTGGATCTCATTTGTTTCTTACATCTGATTCTAGAAAGTTCAGTTCGATTTCTACACTTGATCTTCCACAACGTCGTTATTCTCAAACTTGAAAAGCCTCTAATAACAGGAAATCACAGGCTCTGTAACTTTATACAGATCCAGAACGAGGCGATACCTCTTGTTCTTTCTCCCTCGACTCCTTCGTATTTCCCCCAAACTTTCTCCCTCATCCATTGTTCCAACGTTGGAAGATACATCGACATCCTCGAGCTTGCTCTTTTGTTGTTCTTCTTCTTCTCGTGGTTTCCCCTGTACGCTGAAGCTGTTACTGCTATTGTTGTCTTCGACGACGACCTCGCCGCCTGTTAGGGAACGATGACTGGAGGAAGAATCCCCGTGGCTAAGCTGGATGAGTTGCCGAGCTGCCTCCATCTCCGATTCCGACAACGCCGGTTTCTGCTTCTGCTTCTTCTTCTTCGGGACGATGATGCTCTCGTGGTCGAATGCGTATGATGAAGATTTCGATTTCTCCATATGAATCATCATGAAGGTACGAAACGAAGGATTATCGATCTTCTTCTTATTATTATTGTAGTAAGCTTCTTCAAAGAAGCATAGGTCGGTTTGCTAACTTTTGTTAACTTGCTGTGCTTGTTTTCCTCTTTTCTCAATCGTTTTCTTGACTTTAGCTAATGTGACACACACACACACACACATTTATATAACATTCTTTTTATAATGATTTTTTTAATAAAACACAACCCTAAAAATTGGAGTAAAAATTTAATATGTCTCATGAAATTAGTTAAATAAATTTGTGTTACATACTTATATGGCAAGTAAAATAATTTTTGTTTCAAAATTTGTTACTAGTTTAATTATGGAGAAAATTTATGTGCTAAACTTTATATAGGTAATGTGCTTGGTTCCAATCAAATCAAGACATGTGGATTTTTTAAAAATATATTATTTATATGATAAAAATTAATAAAATCTTTTTATTTATATCATTAACACTTTTAAATCCGGTTGTTTTGATTTAATTGGACAAGCATGTAAAATTAAGTACGTAAGTTTTTCTGCTTTAATTATTCTAACATGCATATTAAAAATAAAACTACAATATTTTGTTTTAGAAAAAATCGATTTTTTAATAAGAATAGTGATAAATACAATATTATGCTCATTGTATAATACGTCCAGGTTTCCAGTTACTAATCGAATTGTTTATTTAGTTTTCCTTTATTTTCTTTGTTTGATGTATGGTCTTATACATAATAATATTGGAATAACTTATCGATAAGGGAAGAGATACTCATTCAATTAGACAAATATTCGATTTAACTGAGGCAATCATTAATTAATTAATTAATTGGTTTTAATATTGTGGCCGACCTTGAAACTGAAAGCATTATCTTTAGCATACGTGGAGGTTCCAAAATATCTGCAGAACGTGAGGTGCACTGTTTTTCACTTTTTCTTGCGGTTTACTGTTTCTTCTTACCCTCTCATCTTTTTTCTTTTGTCTTTTAAAATAATAAATATTTACTTGAATCACCTTCAACATGAAGTCTTCAACTTTGTTTATCATATAACTCTTTTTCCTTTTTGGGTTCAGAGGGTCATGTCAGGCCCTGTAACAATAGAACTTTTCATCAGTTTTGGGTTTGTGTCTCTTGACAAAATATATGTGGCTCTGACGTTCATCTGACCCTATAAACACCGTTTTGAAATTCTTTTTTTTAACATAAACTTAATATCTGATTCATTAAACACCCTAAAATATTTTTACATATATATATATATAACAGCCTAAAAAAAATTAAAAAATATTTTAAGATGTTTGATGTACATTCATTTAATGGATTTTTTGAAGAGTTAACGCCTTAACGGTGATATTAAAATTGCTCCTAAAAAATACTTTAAAAATAAAATTGCTCCTAAAAATTAATATTTTAAAAGTAAAATTACCCCATAGAATGCTCGAGTGTGCTGAATTAAACTCAACCAAATATCTTTTGATGATGTAGATGTATAGCTAGACTTTTTAAGAATTAGGCTTAACAAGCCTCGTACCTCAGCGAAATGAGTTTTTAAGGATTTCTTATTTTTAAGTAGTTTTTATGGAAAAAAAAAATTGATTGATGCATGGGAATGGTCCTGTTTTTCTTGTAAACTGGTAAGTGCATGTGATATACTTAGATATTTAAGGCTAGACTTTGGGATATATTAAATTAAATTTATAAATATTTTGTTGCTATTTGATTTATTTCATATGCTTTTCCCCCCTAAATTTAGTTGTTAGGACAAAAAGTGATTTTATCATAAAATCTCCTCATATTTTTATTTTGCAAAAGAAAGAAAGAGACAATAAAATTTAAAAAGAAAGAAACAAAGAAAGAGGCAACGTAAAACTCAAGTTTGTGTTTTTGTATTAACTGGAGTTTCAACCTTAATTATAAGTAGTACTTCATGAATTTTTTTCTGAGATATTTGGTGGAGTAGGAGAGCAACCCCATAGAAAGTTTTGAAATTGATTTTTCTTTTCTCTCTTTACTCTTTAACTTGTGATTGTTTATCATAATTAGATACTATTTCCGGTCCTTAATATAAAATCTTGTTTGACTTTTATTTTGGTCTTAAATATAAGACCGCAATCCACTTTGTTTCTCGTATTTATGTATTTTTTCCCAAAGTAATCCTAATAATAGTAATTTTAGTCAATACACTTAATTAGTAAGGATATTTTAAGAAAGACAGCACATATCTTATATTAAGGATCAGATGTAGTATTTATTAATTTTAATATGTGTTTGTAAATTACTCACTTGAGGAGTAGGTACGTAGCCTGACTAGTGAAAACGAGCAGTTTATATTCTTTCAAGTGTGGCTCTTTGTGGATTTTGATTCATGAACATATTTTGATTTTTCTAGTTATATATACACACACACAAATTTGTGCTTCATGTTATTGGTTACTATTGAATTAAATTTTTGAACGATTTTGATGAATTAGGAGGGAAAAAAAGAGCCCAAATATATAAAAGTAAAAATAAATATTTAGACTATGAATAATTCAAGAGATTTGCAGTGGCTTGAAACTATTCTTCATGATTTATTTAGTTGCTTGGATATTTAGGGAATGAATTTAACTTTAATTGAATATGAAATAAAAATAATTCATAAGATTATTACAACACTTTAGAAATATCATTATAATTACTTTAGAATCAACTCGAAATGTGGCAACTAACAATATATAGAGTGAATTTGGACCCCAATCTTCAAGTGATTGTGTTTGTCTTGAATTAAATCGTGATTGTTGTTTTT